CGATTGTTAGGTTGCTGATTAGGTCGTCCCTGGTTGCCAGTACCGGGTCAAGCAGTGCTTTGCCTCTCGTTGGCCTGTAGACTTCTTGAGTCAGATACAGCTCATCCACGCACGTGAGGAAGCTTTGCGACCATTCAGATTTGGCCGAGCGCTCTTCCCACAAGATGTCCGGGTAGTTGAAGTCCCCCATGACAACCATGGACTGGGAGTGTGCAGCTTTAGCCAACTCCCTGACGAACTTCTGGTCAATCTCTCGATTCTGGGAGGGAGGTCTGCAGTAGACTCCCACCACTGTATCTCCTGTGCTGTGTTCCCCATGGATTTTAACCCAGAGGGTCTCTAGTCATCCACCCTGGGTGCCGATGTCAGTTTGTAGGGATGCATAGCTCTCCTTGACAGAGAGAGCTATACCTCTGCCCCTTTTGTTCCCTCGATCCCTCCTGTACAGGGTATAGCCATCTATACCCATGGTCCAGTCATGGGTGGAGTCCCACCAGGTCTCCATTTTCCCTATGACATCGTAATTATTTGTGTTGAACAGGAGGACAAGTTCCTCCTGTTTATTCCCCAAGCTCCTGGCATTGGTGTACAGGCATGCAAGAGTCCCTTTGGGGGCCCTTGCCTTTCCTACAGCTCGCTCTAGGGCTGAGGCAGGGGTGGGCTCCCTTAAGTGCCTCTGCCTGCTGGCTTTGCAAGGGTTGCTCAGCGGGCCAGCAGTGGCGGTAGTCCCCACATCCCCTGGCGGGCTTAGTTTAAAGCTCAGTTGAGCAGGTCAGCCAGTCTGGCTGAGAAGAGCCTCCTCCCCAGCGGAGAGAGGTGGAGGCCATCTCTTCCCAGCAGCTCACTGCCTCTCTTGCCAAAGAGCAGGCTGTGGTCATGGAAGCCGAAGCCTTCCCGATGACACCAGCGCTGCAGTGTTTGGTTCACTACCTGGTTCCTCCTCTCCCTCCTCAGCCTGTAGCCCAAAACTGGAAGGATCAAGGAAAACACCACCTGCACCCCCAACCTGTTAAGCCCCGCTCCCAAATCCCTGTAGCGCCTCATGATCCGGCTGGGAGCACTCCAAGCCTTGCCCCGATGCCCACATGGATGAGGAGCATACAGTAGTGGTCAGTGGGCTGGAGGAGTTTAGGGATCTTCTCTGCAATGTCTCGGATACAGGCTCCCAGGAAGCAGCAGACTTCCCGGGCTGAGAGTTTGGGGTGGCAGATTGCCCCCTCTGTCCCCCTCAGGATAAAGTCTCCCACAACAAATGCTTTGCGTTTTGTCTTAGGGAGAGTAGGGGCGGTAGCTACAGTTGAGCCTGTGTTGCCTGTGGGAGCTGGCAACTTAGCAGGCTCTGCTGGGGCTGCAAGAGGTTCGTACCTGTTGCAAAGCTCCAGCGGGGGGGGGGGGCATTGGGGCTCTTGACCACTTTGGTCCAACCCTGTGGCTGGACAGAATGGGAGGTCCCCGGGCCCTCCCTTGCCCTGGAGGGAGACCGTGGTCTACCCTCTTTCTCCCGGGGGAGAAGGGCCTGGCAGTAGGAGTTGATTTGCTCACAGTCCGTGATGGTACGCAATCTCTGGACTGTGGCCTGGAGCTCCTCCAGCTGGCGCGCCAGAGACCCCAGTGGGAGCAGACCCCACAAGGGGAGGTGGCCATGCTCCCGGACCCCAGAGCCTGAAAAAGCGACAGGCAGCCTGCACAGCCGAGAGCCAGGGGCTCTGTCTGGGTGGAGGTCTCTGAGGTGCCAGAGAGCCGCAGACCCTGAGGCGACCTGAGGGGTGTGGCGTGTGCCCATCTGTGTCATGCCACTGGTGGGCTGGCTACGGCTGGGACTGGCTTCCCTAGGGGGGCTCACAGGCAGGGCCGTGGGCCCTCCCACTCACCCTCCTGTGTGAACTTTGCACTAACTCACGCGCTGGGCAGACAAGTGCGCCTGTTCGCGCAGCTCTGGTCACATGGCTCCCTGGGCGGCTAGACAAAATAGGGGTTGGGGCAGGGTGGGGCGAGACACTCCCAGATTCCTACTCAGCTGCCTCCCACAGCTGAGCTGGGCTAGTCCCCTCCCACCACGGGCCCTGCTTACCTCCGGCTGCTGTTGGGGATCGGTGGGGGGGGCTCCGTAGCAGTTGGGGGTTGCTGGGGGGCTTTGGGATGCACGGGTGCGATTGGCTTTCACCCATGCGTCTCACGCCGCTCCGTAAGCCTCTCTGCGGCTTTTTCCCTTTGGCAGGAGCTTTTAAACTATGCGGGCAGTAGGACTTTAAAAGTTCTTCCTCCCTGCCCCTTTCCCCTCCTTCTTAGTTTTTGTTTCCCTGCAAGCTCAGCTCTGAAACTCCAAAATTCTCTGAAACACTTCTGAAACGTCGCAGAGCCTTCCGTTCCAATTCGGATTCCGTGGTTCGGGTGCCAACATGGCCCGAAACACCTCCGAAATGAAACAGCTGATGAAATTTCACACAGCCCTACTAAGCAGCAAGGCAGAGTCTATCTGTAATTCTTTGAATGTAAAGAGCCAGATTCTCAGTTGGTGCAGACCAGCATAAGCTTTGATGAACCTAAGCTGGTTTACATCAGCCCAGAATCTGGTTTGCAGTGTGGGATACTGTACCTGCTCACTGGACACTCTCTAATATGAAGGATGGGTTGTCTCAGGAATGCAAGCTAAGCCATGCACTATTTATAATTGAAGAAAATAAATCCACTTATGGCTACCTGAAAGAATTCACTGTATTTTTACTTTCACTAAACTGAGTAAAACATAGTCCAATGACATTCACTCGTTAAGCCCCTGAATAAACAAAGCATTTAATGAGCAGCCTTCTCTGAAGAGACTTCTTTTATGATAAATATCTTGCTGAATTGATATTTATAAATAAAAAAGATTTTTTTTTGGACTGTATATATGCAGTCTTTTCCTTGACTAAGATTTTGGTTGATTTTAATTTGTGAGGTATTAAATAAGGCCAATATACATTTAGCACAGGGATGGTGGTTCTCTCCAAGTATTGGTGGTTTTTATCTGTTGTAGCTTCTCCTTCATACTTTGCTTTTCATCTTTTAAGATACTTTTGTTCTATTAGCTCATTCGGTCTTTCCACTCATCTGCTGGCTTCCAAAAAAAGAGAATTGTAAACTCTTGGCAGCCTCTTTTGGAGACTTAGAATAAATTGGAGGCTTATTAGAATCTTGTTTTTCACATGTTCAAGCTACTAGTACTATTATTTGTTTTGCTGCTGTTCCCAAGATAGGTGGATCTTCAAGTCATGTAGAAGGTGGCAAAAACTACCTACCCCTGGAGAGGAGAGTGAAGGTACCAAGATTCCATTTAGGTGGAAATAGCCTAATACCTCAAACCTGGAGGTAATCCAGCCACCTACAAATTGTACTTGTTGGGAGTGTAGAAAGGCCTTGCAAGATGGATCTGTAGAAGAAAATCATACTTTATATAAATAATGTGGTTTACCTGAGATTGTATCGCTGACTTCTTCAGCTGTACACTTATTCCTTTCCTTCTGATCACGTTTCTCTCTGACCTGTTCCAGGTTTGCTAGTCTCTGCTGTTCTTTGTGCCTATCCATCTCTGACATGGTTTGCATTTTCAGGTTTCTTCTCTGTTGTACAAGTTGCTTTGCTTTTGTTATCTGGCTCTGCTTCATGTCTTCCTGCTCAAGATGTTTCACCATCATTTCTCTCGAGAAGAGAAAAACCCTAGTGAATTAAATATTGCAGTGGACAACAGTTGGCGTTTCTGTAACAGCCCTCTTGCCCTCAGCATAAAGTGGAACCTAATGGAACTAATTTTATACAAGTATGAGCATTTAACATTTCCATGTTAACTGTTGCTGCCAAATTACATAACCTTTAATAGGAATTTTAGAACTATCCATTGTTGGCTTAATTCTCATCCCATCAAAGTCAGCATGAGATTGTTTATTACCTTTTGATGTATAAAAGTTAATATAATACTTAATGCATTTGAAAATCCTACCTTTAAAATTCTAGTTCCTTACAGCTGTATATTTTTAAAGAACACAGGATCTTTAGCTGGTACCTTTAACTACAAGGCAGAACTGTGCTTCAGCTGCCTTTGGGGGAGGGAGCAGTCACACTGACTTGCATCCACAACTCTCAAATATTTGGGGGGGCTGTCCTTTTAATCATTAATCATTTGGAGTTTAAGTGTGCTTTCTGTTACTGCCACCAGTGCTGCAAGTCATAGCACACTCATCCACAAATGAGGGAAGTCTCTTCATGTAGATACTTTCTAGTCTTTACGAACATGAGGTCCAACTTCCAAAACTTAAAGTACTATTTTACTGCAACTACTGATGCAGCAAAACTTATGCATCATGCAGGAGTTTATGTTCAAGTCCTGTCCATCTGCCTGTTTGCTCTTAAGTCATTTTGTCTGGAATCGGTAGAGGTATATATGATATGATCTACCATTAGCCACTAATGTATGGCATGCTAGGAGTTCAGCACTTGTATCAGATCTAAAAACAACAGTTTTTCTGTGCAATTACATCAGGTACGACAGAACAAAATGTGGCAGGTTTGTGCCCCGGGAGTGGCTGTGAATCCCCCTGGTGGCTGTGTGACCTCCGCCTGGATCAACCTCTACTACAGCCCTCACTTAATTACTCACCTGCCATACCTTGATCTTACTAGAGGTTAAACAAGGGAGGCTGCCCACAGCCCTTAGTGAACCTTAGTCCACTTTTAGTACCACTGAGTCCCTCCTGGACCCTCAACTGCCTTGATTTGACTCTTAAGCTCAATAGCCCCTCTTGGCTGGCCTGCGCACCTGCAGGGCCCCTCTAGCTTCAAGGGCTATATGTGTATCTATGCCCCTCTAAAGCAGCCGTAGCCTTAAGGGCTCAATGTGAGGCTCTGTTTCCTCCCCTACATCATGCCCCAAGCCTCATGGGTGTTCTTTCTCTTTGACACTAACTACTTTTACACTCAAACCCCTGACCCCCTACACAGTCTCCCTCTGAACTCTGGTCTCCCTCAGAAGTCTCCCTCACAGTCTCCCTCAGAAGTCCTGGTCCTGCACACAGCCCCTCCAGGCTCTCAGACCCCTGGTCCAGCATGCAGCCCTCTCCTCTGGGCTCTCAGACCCTCTAGAGTCCAGCTTAGCCTACTTGGGGCTCATGGGCCCTGTGGTCTGGGTCTAAGCCTTTCCTAAGCTGCTGAACACCTTACTTGGCCTCACTCCCAGTCTGTGGGCACCTGGATTACTGGCTCTCTAAATAGGCCTTGAGCCTGGCCACCACAGGGCTCAAGGCTAAACTCTCAGTGTAATTTAAATAAGAAGCATCTCAGCCTTCTGGCAGACACTTCAAACACTCTAGGGACTTAACATAAACAAAGGCCACTTGCCTGTAAAAGCCCAGTCCTTTTCACCCCAAGGAATTTGCCTCTGTTCTCAGGCCTGCAAAGTCATTCAAAAAAATTCATGTCCCTTAGGAGCCCTGCAGCCAGGAGCTCCTCACTTTGTGGTTGCTAGAGCAAGACTGCCTAATCAGTGCAGGCTTTGGGTTTACATAGCTCCAGCCTGAGCCCTCTTCTGGTCAGGTGAATCCCTCATTAGCTCTCCCCTGCCACCTGCAAGCAGCCTCATGGGCTGCCTCAGTGCCCTGATACAGATAATATATACATATTGTATATGTTTGATTGATTAAACTAGACATGTGGAAATAGGAAAAATGCCCAGTAATTACAACTGTTGGTTTCTTTTCAAAAAGTGCGCACTAGTGTGCAGAACAGGTCTTTGGCAAATAAACACCTTGTAAGTTTAGCATGTACAGTTTATCATGTGCTTTACTCGGGTATCAGAAGGTCCAGAGGAGAAAATAGCTGGCATCAGATATATAACCTGTGTAATGTACCCACGGATTTCCAATGCAGTGTGGCATCTGTGTTCAGCCTGGCATTCCCTTTCACGTTCCTCTTTCTGCTGCAGGACTTCCTGCTTCCTTTGCTGCTCTGTGCATGTGCTCTTGCAGTGTTGATTTTCTCCAAATTTCTCTAAAGGAGAGATGGCCTGTGTGTGATAGAAAGTAAACTTGACAACCAGGATTTTAGTCCATCTTATTTCTGACTTGCCGTATGCATTCTGTATCCTTTAGATCAATCTCATAGTATTCCTCAGTCTAAACTGTGTGCTGCTTTGAGGGGCGATATTCAAGAAAGGCTAAGGAATACAAGGTACCTGCAACTCTAAAAGGTGCATAAACTTCAGAAGGGCAGATCTTTAAGGTACCTGCAGAGTGAGATTAATACATTGCTGCCCAATGGAAGCAAAGACAAGAATAGCAGAGCTCTAGAAAACAGACACAATCCTTGTATTTTAATGCACATGAATTTCAGAGCTATCTATTGCCAGAAGCACATAAATCTTGTCATCTAGTCCACCTGCCATTGGCTTCAGCAGGCATTGAGATTATGCTCTAAGATCAATTTCTATTGATTGGATTATCTGGTTACAGATCCAGTTTTTAAATCAAGTACAGTGAGTTCAGATCCTTTCCAATTGTCTGGTATTGGGAAAGGACTTTCTTGCCCACTGTAGTTTTTTGGGGTGTATTTTTTGTGGGGGGATGGTTTTAGCAAGCCAAAGGGTAATACTAGGACCATATGATTCTCCAATCAATCTCCAGTACATTTACAGACTCTCTTCCTTTTAAGGATGGAATACACCTAATTACATTGCTGCTATACCTTAGATAAGCTTACCCCCAATGATGGTTTGAAGTTCTGGTGGATTAAGGCTTCCTTCATTGTGAGCTGTCTTCGGGGAGACTGTTCAGTAGATTGAAACATTGCACTCTGGTTGATTGCTGCAATAGGTGACACCTCCAAACAAATAGTTTTGGATTCCAATTTGTCCTTTGCCCATGTATTGCTAGGAACACAGATTCCTAAGGACACTGAAACAACAGGTAACATTGAAATGTTGTGTGTGAAAATAATTAAAAATATAGAGAGAAACATTCATTTAACAAGGAAGGAAAGTGCAATTTTGCTCTGAAATTGGCTGTAGCTCAGAGTAGTCACTAAGGATACAAAGGTAAACTATGGAGGGAGACCACTGGAATCCAGTTACCTCGCATGGTCTCAGTTAATAGTTTGAGTGGCTTTTCACCAGAAAAAAGTACTGAAAGAGGGGTTAATACCTGAGATGAGGGAGAAATGTTATGTGGGGGTGGGAGAAAATGCATGTGACATGCAAATCCTGCTTCTATACCAATTAAAGTCATGCTTAATGGAAACTCCAAAACAGGGTTTGTGGTTTTTTAATAAAGTAAGATTGCAAAAATTAAATTCATAACAAGTGTTGTTAGCATGATTTCCTCTGACTTTTTTGTTTTAAATTCCATGTAGCAGGAAAAGGGTGTGTGTCAGATTGTCTACTTGCTTCCTTTTCCTTTATCTGTGCACCACACAAACATGCAGTTTGGTTTATTTACTGACATAAATATACATATGCAGGTACATCTCTGTCACTCCTGTCAGAGAGATAGTCAAGCCCACCCTAAAAAAAGGACTACCAGATTGCCAAAGACATGGAAAGCTTTCAGCAAAGCAGCAGCCATTGAGAGCCACCCCAGGAGGGAATTGAGCTCTACCTGGACTCTGGGGAAGTGACTTGGGGTGGCTTCTCTTCCAGTATCTCCACTGAGGTTTCACATCATCTTTCAACGTGGACTTTTCAAAAAGGCTAGAATCTGTGTTAACAGCACTGTCCACCATCGTCCTCTTGGTTAAGCACATCTCTGAGTCACTTTCTGAATCAGAGGAGCTAGACGAGGAGGCAGCAGCACCAGCAGCAGCACCAGCACCAACAACTGCTGATTCTTCTTCTTTTGGAGCTTCCAATTCCAAAAGTTTCATACTGATACCGTTGTTGGGCTGTTTTTGTTCAGTGTCACTCAGAAGTAGTGGAGTCTTAGATGGTACAGGCCACCAGGTACTGAGTTTGGGATGGTGGTAGCAGATACATTGTGCATGTGCCAGTGAACAGCACGTACTATGGTAATGACAGTGGAAGGGGGTCCAGGTGATAGTGCATGGCCACCTGCATGTAGTAAGCCTATCTAAAGTGTATGCATGAACAGGAGTTTTCAGAAGTCTGTGACGCCAATTGCAACAGCTAGTGCTCTGGAGGGCTTCCATGAGCTTTAAACTGCTGGTGAAGGGCATGTGGATCATATCTATAATCCTATCCCACAAATTTGGTGGAATCCATAAGGCCACACCTAGTGGTACTTTCACTTTCTTGCCATTCCAGAAATGGACTGTAATTTCTTCATCCTCTGAGGCTATTGAAAAGAAAAGGTAACATTCCATTAAAAAGTGTTTGAACAGGTTAGTGAAACTTAACCTTCGCTATCTACCTTTGTACACTAGAACAGGAATGCCAGCATGCTCTAACACCGTTTCCAAACTTTTGGTATCTGGGGCCAACTTGTTTGCTGGTTTAAAGTTGGCAGTACAGTTCACTCTTAATACCCAAAAAGCTAAATACTTGTAATATATATATTTCAAAGAATATAACATATTCCATTCCCCTGTTATAGGAAATCATACCAGTGTTGAAATGTACTGTTAAAAAATGACACCAAAATAAAAAGCTGTGCCCTGCTCTTTCCACTGTCCATGACTCCCGATCTGTATGTCAGGGGGCAAGGACAGCTCCTTCTGCTGAGGTGGCTCTTGCAGGGTCTTACATGCCAGTGACCACCCGAATGGCTCTTCCTGCCAGCCCCAGGAGCATGGGAGGGATGGAGGCGATGAGCTGAACTGCAAATTGCAGCTCCATCTGTGCATCCACCCACCTGCCTGCACACAGCAGAGCATGTTGCTGGGGGGGTGGGGACTGCCTGGGGGTGGCCCGGGGTAGGGGTGTGCAGCAGCAGTGGCAGCAGTCTTCAGAGGAGCAGGGGCAGGCACAGGGTGCTAGGCTGGGGAGGACAGCATTTAGGTCCTCACAAAGGGAGATCTTCCAGTACATGTCTGTCTCCTGCGGCACAGCCTTTGGGAATCACTGCTCTAAAATTTCATTACACACTGGGAGATACTGTGGCACTTGTTGAACTGCCAGTGTTACCTAGTGAAATGCAAGCAAATGTTAATTGTCTGAATAACTTCTGACAACATAGCCAAACATAGCAGTCAGAATCTAATGACATTTTATACCAACATTTTGATAAACTGATAGGGCCCAGTTGCCAAGCCTGGCTGAATCACAAGACTGTGTAATATCTCACATTTGGCTGTTCAGATCACCATGTTGATGCAGAAACGAGTGCTATGAGCATTCTTACATGGGCCATCCTCTTACACTTGCCCTGCTTGGTATATGGGGCCTCCACACCGTTAGAGACTTAATGGTGGGAGTCTACTACAGACCTCCCAACCAGGGTGAGGAGCTCGACCAGGATTTCTTGGGTCAGCTCACAGAGGTAGTGAAGGCTAAGGATGTGGTAATCATGGGGGACCTGAACTTCCCGGACATCTGCTGGGAAGAGCAGTCAGCCAGGTCTGAAC